TATCTATCTATCTATCTATCTATCTATCTATCTATCTATCTATCTATTCACACATTCATTCATTTATTTTGCTGAGTTAGGCTCAAGTCAACTCATGTATTGGTTGGCTGCTCCCACAGTTCTGTGCCACCATTGCACTAGCATACATTTCAGGCAGGACAGAATGTTTTGTGGCTGGGTGGGTAGTTAGGTTTCCTTTTTGGTAGCCTGCAGAGTTCCTTCCCACAGCAAAAACACTAGAAGGTAGAAGTGAAGTCATCTGTTCAATGAGTTGCGTGGGTTTTGTCCTCAGAATGCGAGTCTGCTGTCAGTTTATGCAGAACAACCATTGTTCTAGCAAAATCCTAGGCTGTTTGGGAATTTCTACAGAACCTACTATACAACAGCTCAATTGAATGCAACCCAGTCCCTCACTGGGAGCCTCATTTAGTGACAAGAAATGGCCAATTAGGACTCTGTATCCCCAGTATTAGGAGAGCTCATTAGGATCGCCTTCACATATTCCTAGGGAGATGACACTGTACTAAAGGATTCTATAACATCCCTCAAAAGCACCTCAATTCCATCTGTCTCTCACCACATTCCCTCTGTTAGCACTATCTTCCCTTTCTAATTTCTGTATCTTCCCACAAGTCAAACCATAAAACTTATTTAATTTCTCTCTCCCAGGGATGTTTTTTTTTTTTTTTTGTCTCCCCTAGTCCCTTTATCTGTACTTAACTTCTCAGGGGCAACAGGGTGTAGGTTGGTTATCATTTATTTAATGGCTAATATCCATAAATAAAGAAATACAGATGATTTTTGAGGCAATGCTGGATGTTGCAGTTTTTGCAAGACATGATCTTGTAGTCCCAGTATTCTGAGACCCCACAGGTAAGGCACAAGTCAGGTCCACATTTCAGAACTGCCAGACAGCAAGGACACTGCACGGTACTGTACTAACTCTTATAACAATAACCAGGAAAAACGATTCCGGCAGTCTGAGCTTCACTGGCAGAACTTACCACAGAAATTCTGTGTCATGATGCAGGGGCAGTTGCTGTCACAAGGATGATCTGGCTGGTCACAGGTTTGGTAGTTATACATGTGTGTAGAAGAGTTATCTTTCTTCAGGTGAATTTTCCTGCAGTGTGTAGCCCACAACCTGGGTTTTCTTCTGAGAAGAGCATATGAGCTCATCTGTTGGCAGCTTCAGGATAAGTGATTCTTTGGCTGCAAACTGAAAGACCTAACTTCATATCTTTTCCCCCAAAAGCCTGGCTATTGAGCAGAAGATGTTGAAGTAGGTACCATGGATAACTTGGAAAAGAGATTCTTCAACTCTATTCCACTCCACAGGCTCTGACAGAGCTTCCACAACACAGAGCTGAGGTGGGGCTGGGCTGGCTTTTTGTTTTATGGGGATCTGACAATGAGAGTTAACCCCTGAAGAGCTGGAGACTCAGTCATTGCCAGTGTCCCTGTCACTGTCTCCTTCTTTAGTCTCAGATATAGTACAGGATGACATTTTGGAAAAGGAGGCGCTGACCACATGGTGCCTTTTCTGGTGTCCTGAGCAGATAGATGGAGGGTTGTGGAGCATGGAATACTCCTCTGCTTCTTCCAGCAAACGGAAAAAGTCTGTGCCTCATGGTTCTGGTTCAACCTTGATTTCTTTGTTCTTGTGTTTATATACATTAGAAATAGCATGGAAGGACAAAGAAAGAGGATGTATTTAAAACAGCATTGGCAAAAATAGGGTGTGGAAAGAGTTCAATGATTGCTCCTGCTGCACTGACTTGGCATTGAGGTCATCAATATTGAGCATGCATTGAGAGGGAAGTGTATTGGGGTCTGACATCTCCATTAACTCTCAGTATCACTCCATCATTTCTCTGGGACATAATTCTCAGGGAACATGGAAGCAATGGCACTGAAGATGACATTTAGAAACAGTTTCTTGGAACTCTTTTTGTTGTTTTCAATAGCATGTGTTTCTACTATTTGATGCTGGCAGATCTTGGCTGTCATCTTGTTTTCTCTCAGAGGTGTCATTGTGCCCATCTTCTTTATCATCTGAATATTGATGAGGACATCCACCAATTCCAGAAAAACAGCTTCACTGATCAGCACAGACCCAGGGATAATCTCTCTGTCATCATGGACTTTGCCCTCATAGTTATCAATCAGCTCCTTAAGGAAAATTTCATCTTTCACCTATTCACCCATGTATGAAATAATGCACAAAATGGTCTAATCTTCCACCATGAAGTTCTGCTGGAAAGGGGACCAGCAATACATGATGGGAACCAATGCAACAGTGTTCAGAGACCTCATCAACATATTCTGGTTGGCAAAACCTCGAAAATACTCTCTATGGTACACTTTTTCAGAAAAGGGTGACCACTCAGTTTTCATTGGCTGAACAGGCTGGAGATGAAGTTTCTTCCATTCTTCGTTGAAGATCTGGGTCTTTTTTTTTTTCTTGAACCTTTGCAAAATTTGCCATATACAGTACCTTCACTACCATCTTTCTCTGAAGCCATTTGAACTAAAGCAGCAAGTCCCCAGATTTCACTTTTCTTTCCAGTATGTGATGCATTTGGAAGTTGGGGGACTTGCTGTATCCATTTTCCTGGACTCAGAAGAACAAATGTGACAAACAGCACGTGTTACCTCATAGAATGCTCCAGGAAATGTTGGATTTTATAGTGTGTCTTTGCCTGAATTCTTTTAGCTATCTCAAGTTCCCCCCCCCTTTTTATTGGGATTTTAGCACCAAAATCCCACTCATCTCTTCTTCCCTTCATACCAGCCTTTCATCCTTGAAACTCCCTCCCCTGCAAAGAAAAAAAATCTAATTTTGGAAGCTATAGCATATCACAGTGTGTACCACAGTATACTCTTCTGTCCGCACTTCTTTGCTTGCAAATGTTCATTGCAATGAGTCGTTCTGGTACGAAGCCCCTGGCTTCTGCTACTCTCTCAATATTGGAAACTCACTCACATATCCTGTTGTTGTCCTGTGTCATAAACATCTTCCAGTTTTGGATCTGTAGGACCACCAGCCCCTTCATTTACTCCAGAAGTTCATAGGTGGGGTAGCTGTTGTGGTGGGCCAATTCAAAGCCCTGGATCTGGGCCTGAATGGTATCTGAGCTGCTCAGCCTAAAGACTTTCCGATTCTCATGAGCTCTGGGCAGACTCACTCACAAGCCCTGAAACTCAGGCCAACTGGACTCTGCTGTCCAGGCAAGGTGCAGGGCTCACTCTCTCAAATGCTGTAGTTGGTGAAAGACATGGCCAATTTTCCCATCTCTTCTGCCTGCAATAGGGGGCAAGGGATGAGGGAAAGGAGGAGGTCACCTCTCCCTCACCCTACCCACCACACAGCAGGCAAGAGGCCAGACTGGGTCTCCTGCGCTCACACCTTCAGGGTTGCCTCACCTGCAATCCTGCACAGATGTACTGTGCGGTCCAGAGGAGTTATAATGCCTTTTCTCCTGAGTGTTGCAGCTGAGAAGGGCTGGGCCACTTCTACTGCTCTACAACCCCAGGGCCAGGTCTCCCACCCGCCACAGATGGCAAGGAGCAAGGGCAGGAAGCAAGGGGGAGGTGAGTATCTCTCCCTAATCCACACCATGAGTGAGACAAATGGTAGGGCTATGCTCTCCATGCTCACATCCTCACGGCTGGATCACCCACAATTCCTACACCGTGCTGGCCTACTCTCCCGAGAACTGCAGCTGGATAGGGGCAGGATCAATTCTCCTGCTCTTATGCACCCTGGGCCAGATATCCCATGATGCCCCAGTGAGTGGAGGGGGGCAGCTAGTTCTGCACAGCCTTCAGACATTAATGTGTTCCGAGGCAACAACCCAATCCAGGAATGTCCACCTGATCTTTGGTGGTAACAGGCCCCAACTTCTTCAGGGCCAAGGACCAAGACATGGTCCCAGGAAGCAGCACAGACCAGGACCCCACCCTGGTCCCAGGTGGCATCACTGGCTACTCACATCAGGCTGCTCTCACTACCATCATGTCTCCAGTTCTGCCTCTCTTCATTGTGCTTACATTCTTCTGTTTCTGTTCCATTTCTCCACCACTTATTTGCTGGTCTTCCTGGGGTCCAAGTCATCTCAGGAGTGGTCTCAGGAGTGCTATGCCCTGGTCATGTATTAAGGCACCTAAGGCATAGTCTGCCTCCACCGGCCTGCGGGGTGCTAGACCGGTGGTTATCTCAGGCTAGCTACCTGTATGGGCCTGTGGCTCGGCTCTGGTGCCTGTTTCAGCTTGCTCCTCACCCAGCCCACCCAAGTGGCCCCATGTGAAGCTTGTCTGTCTCTGGCTCATTTCTGCTCGGGCCCACAGTCTTAGAGGGGGTTCTTCTAGTCTCTGGCTCACTTCCTGCCTATGAGACTGTCCAGACCCGCAGGGAGCCAGATTGGTGGGCATCTTAGGCTCATGTTTTTCGGGGAATGTTAGGCTATCAATTATTCAGATGTTCACGGTCAGAACACTGAATGTAGACCTAGCCTCTCTCCTCTCTTCACCTACTGACTCATGTATGATACAGCAGCCACACCTGCAATGCCCCTAGGGGCAAGTTTCAAGTTTTTTCGGTTTCCATATGAAGTCAAGAATTGTGTTTTCAAGGTCTGTAAATAATTATGTTAGGCTTTTGATGGCTATTGCATTAAATCTGTACATTCGTCTGGTAGGATCTCCACTTTCAGTGTTTTAATCCTACTGAGCATGTTCCAGCTTCTGATATCTTCTCCACCTTCTTTTTTCAAAGACTTCAAGTTTTTGTCATTCAAGTATTCCATTTGCTTGGGTACAGTTACCCTAAGACATTTTATGTTATTAGAAGCTATTGTGAAAGGTCATGTTTCTCTGATTTCTTCCTTGGTCTCTTTGTTATTTGTATGTATAAGAGGGCTACTGAAGTTTGGGAGCCAATTTTGTATTCAGTTCATTTGCTGAAAGTGTTAATAAGATATAAGAGCTTTATAGTGGAATTTTCAAGGTCACTTATGTATACTATCTTTAAATAAAATACTTTGACTTTTTCCTTTCAAAATTGTATCCCCTTGATCTCCTTCAGTTGTTATCGCTGTTGCTAAGACTTCAAGCAGTATATTGAATAGGTATGGAATAAGTGGTCATCATGTCTTTTTTTCTGATTTTAATGGAATTGATTTGAATTTATCTGCATCTCATTTAATATTAGTTATAGGCTTGCTATCAACTGCCTTAACTTGTTTAGGTATGTCCCTTGTGTTGCTAATCACTCTGAGATTTTTTTTTTTTTAATGAAACGGTTTTGCTTTTTCTCAGAGGCCTTTTCTGCAACTAGTGAGATGATCATGTGTTTTTCCCCTTAGTTTGTTTATATGATGGGTTTTATTTATTGAGTTTCATATAATGAGCCATTCCTACATCTCTGGGATGAAGCCTACTTCATCTTGGTGTATGAATGTTTTGATGTGGTTTTGGATTCAGTTTGCAAGTATTTTACTGAGTATTTTGGCATGTATGTAACAAGGGAAATTGCTCTGTAATTTTCTTTGTTGGGTCTTTGTGTGGTTTTAATATCAGGGTAATTGGGCCTGGTAGAATGAATTGGGCAATGTTTCTTTACTATCTTTTTTAATGAAAAAATTTCAGGGGTTTTGGCATTCATTGTTCTTTGAAAGTCTGGTAGAATTATTTGCTAAAACCATCTGGCCCTGGAATGACTTTAAAGGACTGCTTCTATTTTACCTAGGGGCTATAGGTGATTTAAATTGCTTATCTGTCCTTGATTTGACTTTGGTAAAAGAGATCTATTGAGAAAATTAACCATTTCTTTTAAACTTTTTAATTTTATGTAGTAAAGTTTTTTATTGTATGCCATTAACATTCTCTGGATTTCCTCTGTGTCTGTTATGTCCCCTTTTTCATTTCTGAGTTTTTTTTTTTTAATTACACTTTATTCATTTTGTATCCCCCCATAAGCCCCTCCCTCCTCCCCTCCAGATCCCACCCTCCCTCCCCTTTCTGCATGCATGCCACTCCCCAAGTCCACTGATAGGGGAGGTTCTCCTCTTCTTTCTGATCTTAGTCTATCAGTTCTCATCAAAAGTGGCTGCATTGTATTCTACTGTGGCCTGGTAAGGCTGCACCTCCCTCAGGGGGAAGTGATCAACGAGCAGGCCAATCAGATTATGTCAGAGGCAGTCCCTTTTCCCATTACTATGTAACCCACTTGGACACTGAACTGCCATGGACTACACCTGTGCAGGGGTTCCAGGTCATCTCCACGAATAGTCCTTGGTTGGAGTATGAGTCTCTGGGAAGTTCCCTGTGTTCAAATTATCTTGTTCTGTTGCTCTGCTTGTGGAGTTCCCGTCCCCTCCAGCTCTTACTATTTCCCACTTCTTACATAGAATTCCATTCACTCTGCCCATCAGTTGGCCATCAGGCTCAACATCTGCTTTGACAGTCTATACTGCAGAAGCATTCAGAGGCCCTCTGTGGCAGGTTTCAAGATTGTTTCCTGTTTACTTCTGGCTTTCAGAGGTCCTCTGTAGTGGGTTCCTAGGTTGTTTCCTATTTTCATTTTCTTCTGATGTCCATCCTCTTTGCCTTTCAGGATGGTGATTGAACATTTTAGTTAGGGTCCTCTCTTTTGCTTAGTTTGTTTAGATGTACAGATTTTAGTGGGTTTATTCTATATTGTATGTTTATATGAGTGAGTATATACCGTGAGTGTCTTTTTGCTTCTGGGACAACTCACTCAGGATGATCCTTTCCAGGCACCACCATTTACCTGCAAATTTCATGATTTCCTTATTTTTCATTGCTGAGTAATACTCCATTGTATAGATGTACCACAGTTTCTGCATCCATTCTTCAGTTGAGGGGCATCTGGGTTGTTTCCAGCTTCTGGCTGTTACAAATAAAGCTGCTACAAACATGGTTGAGCAAATGTCCTTTTTGTGTACTTGCGCCTCTTTTGGGTATATGCCTAGGAGTGGTATGGCTGGATCTTGAGGAAGCGCTATTCCTAGTTGTCTGAGAAAGCGCCAGATTGATTTCCAGAGTGGTTGTACCAGTTTACATTCCCACCAGCAGTGGAGAAGGGTTCCCCTTTCTCCACAACCTCTCCAGCATGTGTTGTCCCTTGA